TCAAATTTTGTACGAGATGTATTCTTACATGTTGACACTACACACCATTTATACGCCATTTTATCTAATATATCTTAACAAAAATAATGAAACTCACTTTATAACATAACCACGTCAGTACTGTTTTGTTTATAACACATATCACATATCATAACATATGTCAATAGGCTATTTGACTAAGTTTAGAAAATGTTTTAGATTCTTTCTATACATGATATTGTACATAGTACATTAATATTTCTGAGAAATTAGATCTATTTACATTTAAAAATCGCTATTGAAGTTTAAATTTTAAAACCGCGGCAAAAACGTGCCCTGACGTCACACGCTAGCAACCTACTGAAGGGCAAGAGGGGGGAGACAAGACGCCAAGATCATGACGTAACGCAATAGGCTATTTGACAACATTGAAAATATTCTCTAAATTATGGCCATCCTAGTAGATAAAAGGATAGAAAAGCATAATTTATTTTATTTACACTATTTGGTGTAAAGTTTTAAGCAAATTTAGCGAAATAAATTTAATTTTTTTTAATCATTTTATCTCGGACGGGAACGTCCTGTGATTGGACACAAATTTGTGACGACACCGCAATGGTCACAAGTGTCAAAAGTGAACCATAGATTAAAAGATATGAAGTAAACAAAACAAAAATCTTAATTTGTGGATTCCTTCAACCGATGTTAAGTGCGCATTTATGTGTTTTTTTTAAGTGTTTTAGTTATTTCTAAAAGTATTTTTTAATAGATTCAGAAAGAAGTGGTATTAATATCTATACAAATCGCAAAATGGAGTCAAATTTTGTACGAGATGTATTCTTACATGTTGACACTACACACCATTTATACGCCATTTTATCTAATATATCTTAACAAAAATAATGAAACTCACTTTATAACATAACCACGTCAGTACTGTTTTGTTTATAACACATATCACATATCATAACATATGTCAATTGCGTTACGTCATGATCTTGGCGTCTTGTCTCCCCCCTCTTGCCCTTCAGTAGGTTGCTAGCGTGTGACGTCAGGGCACGTTTTTGCCGCGGTTTTAAAATTTAAACTTCAATAGCGATTTTTAAATGTAAATAGATCTAATTTCTCAGAAATATTAATGTACTATGTACAATATCATGTATAGAAAGAATCTAAAACATTTTCTAAACTTAGTCAAATAGCCTATTCATACAATAAGTAACTTTTGTTCGCTACTTAATCGTGACCGTGAGCGATAAGTAATTATTTAGATCTTTTAAAACGCGGCATACGTCTCGTACTTCGATCACCCGAGTTAACTTTCTTTAGTAGCTGATGGCATGCAAGTAACTTGAAGTATCAGGTATACGTTAAAAGCGGACCGTCATTCCTACTTTTTATAATCGCTACTATGTTATCTATGATTTTGAACAGCCACCGATAATGCGTGACGTCCGTGACTCTGGACAAATTGTTTTATAAGATAGGAAATACGATACGAATACGATCCATGCTCCGCATATTAAACGAATACCTTTTTTTTAACTAGCAGAAGAATGAATATTCAACCAAGCAGTTAAATTTATCTCTGGGGTAAATTAGAGTTGTAAAATTTTGTACCACAATATGACTGTGTCCTGTAGATATATCTAAGACTCAAGGTTTGTAGTCCTTCACGTTTAGGCTATTGGTAAGATTAACATTAAAATTATGAAAATAAAATCTTTTAAAAACCCAATCTTTGACGGTCATGAATAACTCACAAAAGTACAGTCACAAATCAACTTTTACCCTTATTTGATTTTCGCATCACTCGCAGTAGCACATGATATTAATACCGAACCAATATTCCATTTAATTCCTCCGCCTGATAAGATATTGATTATGTAGATCTAATTGTATATAGATAGGACGATATTACGTTTTGTATGAAAAATGCGTCAGTGACGTTAAAGAATTTCGTAGTATCTGAATACCTCTTTGTTTTAGGTATTTTTTACCGTCTGAATATTCCTAATTATATAAATGTTTATTGAAAGTATGTTAATATTATGATAACCACTCGTTAATTAATTAGTTTAATATCACAATGATATATTCAACGTTCACAACTACACTAGTATAGGCTGTTGATGATGATGATGATGATCACAACTACATGATTATTTCTTCTGACACTTCGTTATCATTTGTGTTAATGCTCCGGTCTACTGATATATCATGCTACGACTCATAGTTACAGCATCATACAATATTTATACATTCTATGGTTATAATGCACTATTATCTATCATAAAAAACTAATTTAATTTTTAAAGTAATAATATGGTGTTAGCGCACACATCTTCACCTAACGAAGGCATATTGTTGGTGAGCTCCCGGGCCCCCTACAGAGGCTAGAGAGTCCGCGGGAGGAAGCCGCGGAATGCGCTTCAACGCGCTGTCGGCGCCGTTCTGCCTAAACTCGAAGCTTGGGTAGGTTAGGTAGGGAGGGAGGCCGCGTCACCTACCGACTGCCGCAGGTCCTCACTGGCATGGCTGCTTCGGCGAGTACCTAAATCGGATTGGACGCGAGGAGACGGCACAATGCCAGCACTGCGCAACCGACTTGAACTCCGCCCAGCACACGCTAAAAGTCTGCCCCGCGTCTGAACGTGAAGACCTGGTCGACCAAATCGAACGAGACCTGTCCCCGCCAGCAATCAATGCTACTGGCGGGTGAGGAGGGCTGGGGCGCAGCGGTCTCTCTATCTGTGAAACTGCAATGCTCCAGAAAGAGACCGTTAAACGGGATCGGGAGAGGGCCGATCTCGAGCGTAGAGGACTTCGCCGGCGATACCAGCCGTCGACGGGGCCGCAGGCTACCAGATTAACTGCTGCGGTAGGCGATAGGATGGCGGCCTGGTCGCGAAAATACGATTGGCGGCATCATATTATAATGATTGGGCCGATAGCCGATTATTTTACAGCAACCTTGATTACCATAAAAAAAAGGTTACAGTGACTTAACCTTAAAAGACAGACATATGTTGCTGACTTTTTTTAAGAACTTTTAAAGGGGAACAATTCTGTCATACACGTTTTCTGCGAAACTTCAACAGTTTATGCAGAGCACGAAATGGAATATTTCAAAAGGAATGATTTTCCCCGATGAGTATCAATGAAAAATGTTACAATTTAACGGAGTCGTTAAATGGGCTATCTAACACTAAAATATTTTTTCAAATCGGACCAGTCGTTGGACCAACCAAACAAACAAAAATATTAGTATAGATTTATCTAAAGTATGTATTGCCCTTATTACACCCAGCCAGTTGATGTGAAAGGTATTTCATCCGCAGAAAATTATCCAGGACCATTCTTTCCCGTGAGGAAAATGTGCCCCGATTCCTCAGCGTACTGGCGGCTGTCACTAATTAAACAATAAACCTGCCATCAAAACTTCCAGCATCTTAACAAACCTTAATTTCTAGTATAATTACATAATAAGATATCTTTGAACGTCTTATCTGGTCTCTTAATACTTGGCGTAAAATTAGATATCTTAAATGCTGTCGAAAACTCTTTGTATAAATAGATGAAGACGAAATAGTTCAGTACTTTCTCCTTTGTTTATCAACCTATTTTTTTTTAAATTTAGTTTTTAAATATGTGAATCAGTTTTTTTGAACACCTTTGTTGGAACTTGGCTAATCTTTTTAGATTATTAAAAATATTTGATGAAACGTGTCAGAGTTGGATATTTGGGGAAAACAGTTTCAATACGCACGTGTTCTAATTATACATTGACCTTGATCTTGCAGTATTTTTAGTGAGAATCATACATATAACGTCTTTGAACCAGAAATACATTTCTAATCAATATAATGTTTACCTACTAAACCTTTGTATACTTGACAACGCTTAAAGGTTTTAAAATTATGTAATAAATGGAATATTGTTGATGTATTCAAGCTGTAATATAGATACGTAGCAAAGAAACTAATCAAATTTGCGTTTCCAAAATATATCAGACATTGCTCAAAATGCTTGAAGAAATCAATAATATCGGGTTTTCCTCCCTTTGCTCTGCCATCGTTGAAGGCAATGTGGTTTGTTAAGAATTGATTTAATATTCAAATTATTTTTGTGAGATAGATCTGTTAACTAACTGTATAAAAAACATTATTTATAAGCTTGTGTTAGTCAGTTGATTTTAAAGATTCACAAATAAGATAGAACTTCTCGTTACTTAATTATAACTCGTATTATAATAGCGAACGTAGAAACTCTGTTTGTTATGCCTTTACACCTTAACTACTCGACCATTTGTTATAGAATTTGGGATTATTAGGGATACAAAAAAAAGCACCTAATGTTTCGGAGGGATATAAAATACAGCTAGTTTTAAAAATAAAATAAACTAAATTTTTAGACAACTAGCTGGCGTGATTGACTTGACGGGTATTTTTCTTCAAATACCATTTAAAATGCCTTATTTGTCATATTAGAGAATCACCTTGTTGACATAATGCCCTAAGAATGTACAGGTCCTGTACCTGTGCTTTCAGGTACAGGACCTGTACATTCTTAGGGCATTATGTCAACAAGGTGATTCTCTAATATGACAAATAACTTTTACATGTGTGATCAACATAGTTGTCGGTTTTTTGTATGTCACATCTTCCCTCTCGCTTTTCTGCAATTTCTGGAACTGATTTCGTGAAAAGAGACAAAAGTGTGTAAAATGAATCAACTATTTGATTTACCAAACAGCGCACGGTGCTAGTATTCGGTTTCAGATGTTAAACATTATATAAAAAAAACTCGCCCTTTATTTATTACAATTTCATGTAATTTCAAATCTACTAACGACTTGCATCTCTCCACTGAGGTGTAGCTGAATCGATCACGTTGTTTGAATACAACGTGTGCATACAGACTTGAGTCTGTATGCAATATAGACTGTCAAGTACTAACAATTTTTACTTATGCTGCTATTCTATACACAAATGTTTCAAAAATGTTAATATTTTTTTCAGGTAAAAATCTCTACAACAATGAACATGTAGCTATTAAGATGGAGCCTATGAAGTCGAAGGCTCCGCAATTACATCTAGAATACCGATTTTACAAGTTACTAGGCACGCATGGTAAGTTTACAAGTAACTGTGTATTTTAAGAATTAAATATTATTCACATAAACTTCATAATAATGATAAATTTACAATTGCATATGTGTGTAATATGTGTATATGTGTGTAAATTTATCATTATTTATGAAGTTTCACAATGTACTGGATACAGGACTCTTGTTACTTCATTATTCGTGACTATTACCTATAACTTTATTTACCAATCACATTAAAGTTACATATTGTATTTTCGCAGCAGTAGCATATGTCCGTATCCTTAACGAACATTCCTTTTTAGTTGACTAAGGCCCTAAATTTTTTTTAAGAGAAACTCAGACAAATGGACAGAATTAAATATACACATATACAATCTTGGTAAATAATATTTCAAGAAACACTTATGTCGGTCACATGAAAATTTTTTTTCCGCAGTTTGCTCAAGCTTGTATACAGGGTCTTAGGGACTGTGTAACGGACGGTGTAACGAATAATAATTAAATAGTGTATTCAGACCCTCATTCTGGTCGAAATTTATTGGCATCTTCTGCCGGAAAATTAAACTCAAAAGTAATTAATTTTATAATTTTTCATTTTTTTGGTTAAAAAGGATATCACAATGACTAAACAGAACGAATTTAAAGATTTTTTTTTTAGTAAAAACCGTTTATGGTCAAATCATCAATAATCTCATCCCTCGGGCCTGTTGGTCTAGTGGTTAGTGACTCTTACTGCTAATCCGGAGGTCGTCAGTCAGGGTCACTAACCACTAGACCAACAGGCCGTGACCGTTCGATTCCCACCCAGGAGAAATAATTGTGTGATGAGCACGATGATTTGTTCTGTGTCTGGGTATAATTTATTTATAATATGTACGTAATTAGAAATATATAAGTATGTTTATCAGCAATCTGGTTACCATAGCACAGGCTCTGCCTAGTTTGGAATCAGACGGCCGTGTGTGAGATGTGTGAAGGTATTATTATTATTATTAATTCATCTAACTGCCGAAGCTAGCGGGGCCTCCCCCCGGCCTCTAACTTGTGTTAGTGTGAGTAGACTGTTTGCACGGGATACAAATGTAGTTATTACTTTTTTGCGATACCTACGGGGAATGACCTTAACGTTTAACAGATGATTACATAAGACATTTAACTTTCTGGTAGAGCATTCTAATGATCTTCGACTCAGCATGATGGTCGCAATACACTATTTAAGTATTCGTTATACCATCCCATACAACTATAAAAAAACTATATAATACTTTTACATAACATCAACAGCCTTTAATAATCCATTGTTAGACATAGGCCTCTCCTTAGAAAGGAGGTTTTGGTCAACTATACCACGTCGGCCAGACGGGTTGGTAATAAATACTTTAATGCGCCTAACTTAAGATAAATTGTAATAGGCTGTATTCTGTATGCATTATTTTACTGTAATAGTATATATGACAACACTGTAGACGTGTTTTAGACTCAAATATTACGTTTTATAGTGAAGTTTTCGCCTAATTTATTTATAAGTAGTTGCTTAATTGATACCAGGAAAAGTCATGGACTCTGATATAACAAATGAATCATTCAGTTTTGGCTAAGAAAGTTACTATATTTATACTTCATACTTGTGATTGGTTAGGACTGGAAACTGTAACAAAACAAATCCCTAGATCGTGATATATACAATGCTCTAACTACTTAAGCATACAGCAAAGTAATCCATTCCGTACTATCATTATTAACAACCTTTAATAGTCCACTGCTGGACATAAGCAAAAATTCAGCACTAGTGTTACTACGAGTATAAAGCTAACTGTGTATGCTTTATAGTACTTAATTGCTGTTGCTGTGCTATGACTACTGCTGAGCTAGCTACACTAACGTAAATTCTCTTATATTCTTTATTTCCATTCATTCCTGGCTTCAGCTAAGTAAAATATTTAACTTTTTTCAAACAGTTTCCGCTAGAGCTGAAATCAACGATGTGACTCAAGTCAGCCTATTAGTGGATTTTACATAGTAGTTTAGTAGTGTAGCACAACTCGTCTGAAAATTTAGTCTATTGGATGAAAACTCATTCAATCAATCACATTATAACTATACAATAGATATAATGAAGTTGCTGGCAGTCCAATTCTTAATACCTGATCAAAAAATTTACTTAGAGGGCATTCCCAAAGTCTACTACTTGGGAACTTGTGGCGGCCGCTACAACGCCATGGTCATGGAGTTATTAGGCCCCTCTCTCGAAGACCTGTTCGTTCATTGCGGCCGACGATTCAGGCTCAAGACGGTCCTTATGATTGCTATGCAGCTCGTAAGTGACTCCGGTATCATTTTTGCGGTAGATTTGTTATTGTTTCTGGACACAACATGGTAACCGATATCCAAAGATCTAAATTCTCGTGATTTCCGAGGGTGTGCACACCGTGGTCATGGTCGTTGTCGAAGCCTTATTTTCATTTTTTGAATGTTTATTATTTATAAGTATAGACGTAGCAATGCTCTCGCGTGCCACCGTCACTTTGTATATCGGCTGCAGTGTTGTGTCGCACAGGTGCGTGCGAGAGCAATGCTCGTGATCAAAAGTGAGTATTAAATTACTTTAATTATGTGGTCTGTCCTCCTTTTCCTGCCCTAATTTCCCGTGAATCCTGTAGCGCCGTCGACAGCGGAAGGTATCCCGGAGGTGTATTACTTCGGGCCGTGCGGTAAATACAACGCACTGGTGATGGAATTGTTGGGGCCTTCGTTGGAAGATCTGTTTGATCTCTGTGGCCGTCGGTTCTCTCTAAAGACTGTGTTAATGATCGCAATGCAGTTGGTAAGTGCTACTTCAAATCTTTCATAACAACTATCTTTAAAGCTCTTGGTTCAGTTAATTAAGGTGAGAAAGAGGTAAAACAGATTCCTGCTCGAATCGATTGATATAACTGGGAGAACCGACGACTGACGGTGTGAAACGGTTCTCTGGTGGCAATCACGGATAGAAAATTAAGACATGTGACGTTCCCCATTTGAAAGACCTACGACTAGGTGATGACATCGGCTCATGATAGCTTTTATCTTGAAAGTTTTAATTTAAAGGAGGCATGTGTATATCAGTAGATGTATTTAGGCTAATATAAAATAAATTCCAACCTATCTCTATCTACACACTCAAGACTATTTAGCGAAAGGGGTAGGCACATTTTGCTAAACGGATTTTTTGTCTGATTTAAGCAACATCACTTTACTTAGAATGTAGATAGGAAAATATTGAATATATTGTAACGAATGCTAGATAAGAAGGGAAGGTTATTATAGAAAAGTTCCTTATATGGATGGTTTGATGAGTGTAAGGAGTTAGTAAGGGTATGAGTGCGTATGAAAATTGCACGATTGTACAGATTCTCGGAAAATCGTGAATTGTTAAATGGAATACAATAAGAACTAATTTTTCTAACCCTATAAGCTTATTATTGTATGCGTAAATTATTACATATTGTATACATATATTATTATCAAAGTCTGGATATATTCGAAGTTATGTCGGGCATATGTATTTCAAATCAATGTTACAATTTTGTTTTCAAGACTGTTATTGGTGATTAGATTTTGCCAGCGACTTCGTCTGCGTGGCGGTCGACATCAGACATCGTATAGGAAACTCCACTACCAAAAATAACGAAGTTTCTTTTAAAGTTTCTAACACCTATTTTGCACCCTTAGAGGTGGAGTTTTTTAAAAATCCTTTCTTAATGCACACCTGCGTCACCTAAGGAACAGTTGTGTAAAATTTCTTGCTTCTAGACCCAACGGTTGCGTCGATCGATCAGTCAGTGAATCAGTCTGTCAGTTTCTTCTTTTATAGAAATAGATATATCGAATTTGATCTTTCATTAAATAATAATTTATTCCTTCATAGAGCGATTAGTTACTTAATATCTAGAGAGCATCTAATTAATAATAATTAGTATGCTTATGTATATGGCCACGTTGTATTGGGATCGATCCATTATCACAGACAGGACTATTGTTGCCAATAAGCCTGATATTGCAGTGATAGATCGATTAGAGTGCTGCGCAATGATTGTTGATATCGCCGTTCCAAATGACGAGAATTTCGTGAAAGTTGAAAAAGATAAAAAGGCTTTGTTTATTTTTGGATTTGAATATCACGGGATTGTCGATATGTGGAATGTAGTTTCAGTGATCATTGTTCTGATAGTCGTATCTGCTCACGGATTTATGGCCAAGAGCCTCGACCAACACCTTTAGAGGCTCACGTTAGATGGCTGGATCAAGGGTCTGATGCAGAAGGCAGTCCTCCTTGACACGGCTCGTATAGTGAGGAGGTTCCTATCTCTGGCAGTCCTAACCACCGGTGTCTTGGTCCCTGTACCCGATGTCGGTGGTCTACTAATTTTTATTTTTTAATGTTTTTTTTTCTTTTGTAATATATTTAAAAATGTAATTAATATGTATATACAATTTAAGAAAGAGAATAATAATAATAATGTTTTTTTCAATCCCACAAATAACTTACAAAAAATATTGAAAAGGTTTAAATGTAAAAAAATAAGTGTTTAAATAGTTGCGTTTGAAGTTCAGGTATTGCAGCCCAAACTAGGATACCCTGTGTTATGGACTCCTGGCTCGTCCCTCTTAGGTTAGGCAATATTTTACAGTGGGAGAATAAATTAATACCAACGAAATACACACTTAAAAAAAGAAATGTTATTGTAACAAAAAACAAATTCTTAAATTGTATGAGTAGTATATTTGTGTGTGAGCTGTGTTATGTTATGTCTGCGTGCGTACGGGTTCGGGTATGTGTAAGTGCTTGTGCGTGTGTGCGTGTGTGTGTGTGTGTGTGTGTGCGTGTGCGCGCGCGCGCGTGTATGTGTGTGTGTGTGTGTGTTAGTACGGGTGGGTGGTAGTGTGGTGTATAAGTGTGTGTTGTGGGAGTTTATGTGTAAGTGTATATGTCTAACTTAATATAGTGAAAAGTTGTTCTGTTTCTCCATAGTCGTGTTCCAAGAGCCATTGTGTGACTTTATTTTTATATTCTACCCTTGTCATATCTGTAATTGCCAGTTGCTTATTAACTTCCTCTCTGTTTCAGCTGCATCGTATCGAATATGTCCACTCAAGACATCTAATATACCGAGACGTTAAGCCGGAAAATTTTTTAATAGGTAGAACTGCAACTAAAAGGGAAAAAATCATTCACATCATTGGTAAGTGCCACCTAGTAATGTAAATGCTTAGAAACTTATTAGACTGGCTTTAGTCAGTAGTAGTTAATATAGTAAATACACTGGTCGAATCAAACACTCTTAAATCAAACGGATAGTAATCGCTTACAAAAGGACAAAAGAATTTCTAATTAATTAATATTCAAATTGAACGGAACTCTTAAACATATACGTTTCGCCTTAGGTTGTTATAAATTTGAAACAATTGCACCATATATTGCATTTAAATATATGTGGTTTAGCCGTTTAAATGGTTACTTTCTTTTTCTTCTACTTCGGTTTCAATAACATAACTGCAGTAAGTGCCTGTGTACATTTGTAATGTGACCATAATCCAAAATTTTACTAATTAGTGAGACAAGCAATTTTATCGAAACGAGTTTAACATGGTCGAATTCTTGATTAATTGTAAGCTGTCAGATGAATTAAATAAAATCCACAATAAAATCAAAATTCGGATCATTGTAGTTTTTAAAAACACAGTATATCTTATTACATACATAGGTATAGATTCTTGTTCTTTCTTTCAAACTTATAATCTTTATAAAATCAATGTATCGTATCGTATCGTATTATTAAAACATAGATTTGTAATTAACTCATACGGGATGAAGCACCACAGTTTTTATCCTGGGAATAATTACCCCCCTTGGGCTTCTGATATACTAACCTCTAGATTCCGTTTTAATCAGATTGTCAAACAATTATCGTGCGACTGTCGATCGCCAAATAAAATTAACAAATGTTATTGACAATATTGTATTTAATTTCGGATATTTTACTAGTTCCAATACTTTACCCTTTTTTTTTCAAGGAATGGGCTTAACGGACGATAAATGTAATTTTTGTTTATTAACAATTTTTTTTTGTTTAAAAACACAAGAATAAGTTAGTTGTGTGATTTTGAAAAGTCGTTTTGCGTTGATCTTCAGGTCCTATACGGTACTTTTCATATTTGTAATACAAGAAGTACAGTGGTTGGTCAGGTCAAGATGCTTAAACTAAACTCACAACACCTGGTGACATATTCTTGTGGTTCCATTGGTGGGTTCAATAGAACACCCTGCATCCCGTTATTATGGATAAGACTATAAAATAGACATTTGTAGTCCCAAGGCTAATGCTAATTATGTGGAGTGCCGTCAGTTTCTTTGCCCTTTCTTCTCATAATTCTGAACCTTGAAAACGCGCGGTTGTAGATCGACACAGGCATATAATAGATTTTAGATACGTATAATGTTATTAATTTTGTTTTGCTACATATTGAAAAATAACAGAGATTATTGCTATTGTGTGTGTTGATCTATGACTTGTGTTTTAGATCATTTACTAGCTTTTTGCCCGTGGCTCCGCCCAAGTGTATGTCTTAAAAGTAGCTTATATACTCGCTGATAATGTAGCTTTCCATTGGTGAAATTTTTAAAATCAGTTAAGAGGTTTAGGCGTGAAAGCGTAACAAACAAACATACTCAGTTTTACATCTATATCTACGAGTATGCAATTAAACAAAATTGAAGTGTCTGTTTTTAATGTCAAAATAATTGTTTCTTTCTTGCTTACACGGTTATTTTTACGGTTATTTGAGTAGGAAACCTAAAGCCGGCTGTCGGGGTGGTTTTTAGTGGAATCACCACACACTCCTAGCTCCTGAGTCACCGAGGAGCAGGAGATCCGAAAGGATTTTCCATCCATCCATTGTTCCGTGTAATCTTCAAAACGACTGGACCGCTTTTGATAATATTTCACTACCAGACAGCTGTCTATATACGGAGTAACTAATGCAATTTTTTCTCAGAAAAACCTATAAAATTTTGCCCGGTCCGGGAATCGAACCCACTATGGCAGCGCTTTGCAAATTCCACGCGAATGAAGTCGCGGGCACCAGCTAGTTTATAACATAAGTATGGATGTTTTTCTCTTTCGCTGTGACTACAACTACACTCTTAGAATCACGGAGACATCACAGCTTCACAAATATTTTTATGTATTATATTTTGACGTGAGCAGTATCTTGACCTCAGCCCGTACCTACATAATTTACCGTTAAACAAATGTGTTACAATTACATCCGTGCTAATAATACCACTAAGGTAGCGTGTATCAATCTGCACTTGATTGCAATATAAGATGCATTTGAATGTGGTTACATCCTAATTACATATGTATTCTCTGTATCACCAATTAATGATACCAGTATTTTATTATAATAAAACGTTGTTTCTTTATTCTTTCTTCTTCTTTATTCTTTATTAAAATAATTTCAATTCCATTACATCATTCCTTGATTTATTCAAGTGCGGAGAGCGTAATTACAAATACCTATAATATTTAAATGTAGTAAAACTATGAAAAATCGTCAATAATAAAATTCACGGTATTTGTTTTGAAACGTTATACGAGTACACAGTTACATACAAGCGGTCGTTCCGAACAGTTTGAACTCACCTTTCGAGCAACAATCAATTAGCTTTATTTCGGTATATTAATTATGCGTGTAGTCTTTACGCAAATTATATAATCTACATGTTTTGCGGTGTTGTACACAATTACCTTGTCCACATAGCGTAGTGGTAGTAAATGTCAATGAATCCTTTATTAGTTCTGGCTATATTTACATAAAACAAAATACAGTTCTATTGCTCATGTCACTCTCCTCTATTTAAGTCTACGTCCAAGGCATCGTGCCACGTAAACTACAACATGTATAGATTAGTTGTTATCGAAAACACCAAAGTATTGGATGGGTTCTATAAATTGTATATTATTTTCCTTGATGTAGACGTTATTATTATCTCTAGTAAATAAAGATACTGCTTGTCCCCTTGGCATAAGATTAATGTGTTATAATAATATTAACTTAAATATAAAATAATAAGAATATATAATAGGCAAGTATTAGTAATGTAACTAATATTCGCATTCCCATAATTTTTAAATTCGCATTCGTAGAAAGTGATGAATAATAATAATAATATTTCGGACATCTGACTCACGACGTCAACTGATAGAATACTTAAATACTTTTTTGTAAATACATACATATTATACATAGAAAACACCCAAACTCCGGAACAAATATAGTGGATCATACAAACATTTGGTCCGCTCAGAGATCTCAGCACGGCCTTGTTAAAATGGTATTTACGAGTAAAATGAATTCCACTAGTTTTGAATTGTATCAATTAGTTAACAAAAGGCGAAGGAAGATATAGCGGAACAAACAAATAAAAAACAAGTTCTTAGACATTGAGAACCTTTTTAAAGTCGCTTAAAAATGATCAACAAACGCCGTCGGGAAATGTGAAACGTTTCAAACATTATGCTCGCGCTTGATTTGAAAGTCAACATTCGCATTCTCGAACACTGGATAATACATACACATTCGCGCAATGAGCAAGAGAATATAATAATATAATTATGGCATACCTAGAGCAGGGGTTCCTAAACTTTTAACGGAACACTTATCGCAATCTTTTATTATTCTGAAACCTAATATATAACATATGACCTAATATATATGTTTATCTTTATACATATTGTATAACATATGTTTTTAATTTATAAAATGTTGTTATAAATATATTTTCACCTTCATTTTATATCGTACACTTAAACATTACTGGTTGTACTCGTAGTGTCAACATTAATGACAAATGTGGGACCTGCAGAAAAAACTTTGTCACGCAAATTTATTTTGCGCAACAAATACATTACATTTAATAGGATATAAAAATCTAAATATATATGTTTATGTATTAAGAGTGGATAGATATTTAGTGATTTTATATTGAGTATAATTCCAAGCTTGAATCATGTTTTAGAATACCAATTAGTGCAATGCCAAGTCTATTGACCTGGGTGTGTTTCGATCTCTTTTACTTTTGTTTTTATACTTAGAGACTGCAACGTGTCTAGTCACATGAACTAAGAAATCTATCATTTGAAAAATAAATGTTTCTCTGACAGTAAAAAACGCTTACAAACGCTTACACTTCTACTCGATCGTCACGGTGACAGCGTTCAGCGCTACGATTGGCCCGCATTGAAATCTCCACCAATCGCAACGCTAAACGCGCTCGACGTCGAGAGCCAGTCGATGTGAAACAAACTCGCACTAGGCCCTTTGATAAAGACTCATCGATGTCATACACGCCATGGCGATTACGTAATGAGATATAACGATAATTAAGTAATATAATCTTCACTAGGTTTGCGGTTTGATACTCTCATATACAATGCTGATTGAATTAGTTAAGAAAGAAAATTAATATTATTATTTCTTGGTTTTCTGATTGGGCCATATGTTGAGGGTTTAACTTATAACCAATTTTTACTTCCCGACGAAATTCAATTTTTCTTTCATTTGCTATCGTAAATGTAGTTCCAACGAAAAGTAAATTTATATGTTTATTTATAAACTACTGTCTAATTTTATAAACAATATAACAAAATATTTTTATCAATTGTTTTACAAAATGCTTTTATTCTTTTATGTAACGTTTTCTTCCTTTGCATTACGAAATAAAAACACCTCGAAATTTTACACTCTGTATCACCTAATTCTAACAGGTTAGGTTTAAAACAAAATAATGATCAGTTACTATGTGTCTTGTTCCGATATTTTAATTCAGTTAGGTATATATTTTTGTTACTGAACTGCAGGCTAATGTGGTGATCAGTTTTTATTCGGTTCACTACTTAGTAAAACTATATTCTGGCCACATTCTGCTGTGCTAACATAAACCATGTTTTCTGACTTGTTTTCAAAATGTTTTTTTTTATCTTTTTTTATTTGTTTTTTGTCAGCCCTATCGCACCATCTCTGCGTAGCTGTTTACAAACTAGCCAGTTTTTTTCCTGTCCTTTATATTCGAATTATATATTAAATAATATCTAAACCTAATCGAAGAGTGGGTTCGATTAGTTTAGTTTTAGTTTAGAACCTAGTTAAGTTAACCGATTAAATATTAATTACCTCTTTTAACATTTCAGATTTTGGTTTGGCCAAAGAATATATAGACTTAGAGACAAACAAACATATCCCATATCGGGAACACAAGTCACTCACCGGGACTGCAAGATATATGTCAATAAACACACATTTAGGAAAAGGTAAGATGTCAATATTGTATAAAGTAAAACCGTAACCGTAACCGACAAGCAGTCTTTAACTTTTTTACTTTATTTATTTATTTTTATTTAATGCTTTATGAACAAGAAAAATGTACAAAGGTGGACTTAATGCCATAGGCATTCTCTGCCGGTCTACCTTTGGGTGGTGTTGAAATGAGTGATTAGGTGCACTAAACTTGAGTATTAATTAAATATTCTTTATTAACCAATGGTGAAAGGGCCGATATTTGTCTAGCTTTTTACCGTACTCGTAGCTCCATTCATTATAGAGATAAATTATTCTACAGGCAAGCTGTCAAAGAACTGTGGTGAATAAACTCATTTCTTTTCCTATACACTACTAAATTGGTAATAGTGTTCTCGTTATATTACGAGGGTATTCACATCGATAGAGTCTCCTCACATTATGTCATGAGATCGAACCATACCACTTTTCTTATTTTCAAAACCAGCCATGAATGGTATATTTATGTTGGAAAAAGTTAAATGTACGATAAGATCTTTTAGTGAAATACTTCCATTACCGAAAAATATTTTTAAATAATATAGAAAATTTTATTGCCAATTGTGAGGGAAGTAAGGAACTTATCACAACACCTCGTACTAAAAACGGGCCATGTGTTTATTTGACAGAAAAGTTCTACAGAAAAACCTGTGTTATAAATAAACTTTGACAGGAAATAGGACGCAATTAATTTTTTTTTATTTCAGAACAATCTAGACGCGACGACCTAGAGGCTCTCGGGCATATGTTTATGTATTTTTTACGAGGTTCCTTACCCTGGCAGGGTTTAAAAGCTGACACACTAAAAGAGCGATACCAAAAAATTGGTGACACCAAACGAGCGACGCCTATTGAGGTAACAAATGATTCTTATTGCTACATTAAGGGTGCCAATATTTCTGTCCAAAATGTTACTTTGGTAAAGTTCCATTACAAGGATGTTTTCATTGAAACTCGGAATAACCCTCATAGTAGGTACCTTTCAAGTTTTTTGTAGTCAGAAACGAAGAACTTGAAATTACTGTTAGAATTCCGCATTGTGAAGCTCTAACACCCTTGATGTTAAATAGCGACAATAACAGTGTTACGTAAAGTAACTTCCTAGAATTTATAGATAACAAAAATAGAGTAGTGTTAAAAATTATATCTACAAGGTTAAGACGTAACGTGATAGTCAAATTAGATCACAATTGTCGATAACAACAGCAGTTTAATTGTAAAAGAGAATATAATCTATACTAATATTATAAAGCTGAAGAGTTTGTTTGTTTGTTTGAACGCGCTAATCTCAGGAACTACTGGTCCGATTTGAAAAATTCTTTCAGTGTTAGATAGCCCATTTATCGAGGAAGGCTATAGGCTATATATCATCACGCTAAGGCCAATAGCAGCGGAGCACCAATGAAGAATGTTTCAAAAACGGAGAAAATTTATTACTATTGAGAGACGCAGACGAAGTTGCGCGGGTCAGCTAGTGTTATATAAGATCAATTTTTTTACCATTAGGTAGGGCACATAGCTTAGATTTTATTAGATGAATCAATTTCATTTTAAAAGTCGAAAATATTTTTTTATTCATTTTTTTGTTTGAATATTAATGATATCCGAGATATAACAATCAATGAATGTATCTTAAGATTTTGCTAAGATTTAAAAATCAGGTATACCCACGATCTTTATATTTTACGCGTCACAAATTTGTCTTAGAAGTAAACTTTGTGCTTGTATTGTTTCGCGATGGAACGATGTGGTACAATTCTTATTGCGTCGAGGTCATTATTAAATAATAAGTATACTAGGTTTCTAGAGCGCGTCCTCGTTTAGTTCAAGCTCTATTGTCTATTTTTTTTAATCTATGTTATATAAAATTAAAAAAAAAAATTGAGTTGTTTCGATAAGAAACATTTAGGACCAGTGTGCTTCACCTGTATGTTATGTTCATATTTTCCAAATTAATTGCTTTTTAGATATTCATAATTATCAAAGCAAAAACAGTAAAGGGAACAACACCCTTGTATGGTTAATTGAATACGAAACACAAACGTTTCGACCTTCAAATCTACGAGTATATTATTATTTTAAGTTATTTTTAAATTTCATTTTATGAGTAACATGACGTAACGTAATAGATCTTATATCAAATTGTAATTATCTCTATATGGGAAACCATAAAAATAGATCAATGAGCCGCACATGAAACACATATTTCAAAAGGAATAATAAAAGTTGTTTACAGAGACCGTAAGGCGCACTTTATACCCCCAAACATCTGCATGCTTGTTATGAGACGTGACGACTTCCTTTGAGTAATGATCTTTACCCGTTTTCCCCATTGCCTGATAAAACCAAACAATTAAAAGTGTTAATGCTATGAAATCTGTTGTTACCATTGTACTGATATCACAATCTGTGTCTGACAGTCGGGGTATTAATATTAATTATGGTTTAATGTTTTTTTTTGTATTTAAACTCAGGTGCTCTGCGAAGGCCACCCCGAAGAGTTAGCGACATACTTGCGCTATGTTCGTCGACTGGACTTCTTCGAAACGCCCGACTATGACCAGCTGCGGCGAATGTTCCGCGACTTGTTCGAACGGCGCGGATACGTCGACGATGGCGAGTTCGATTGGACCGGCAAGACAATGGTAAACAATTCCGTATCTTAAGACATAACATAAATATTAAACGAATATTTCAATGTTGAAATGGAACTATTTGATGCAAGTTTTGACTTTGTTTAATTCTTTTAGAGTTTGCTAATACATTAAAAAATATTAGTTTCATTTCAAATAAGCAAGACTGACCGAAGGTTGTCTTATTAGGAAATGTATAAGGGTCTTTTTCCACTCAGGGTCAGGATGGCAAGCCTTTCGAACGACTATATTTTCTTATATAACGAATATCATCAGTCACTGTGTTCCTGATAACTAATATCTCAGACTCGCTAGTGGATTGGAAAAAGGCTTTGGGAATTATTTTAAAATATTAAAAAAATACAGAATACGAGCCACGCTGTGTCACAGAAATTTTGAAGTAGCTTCTAGTTCTATATTCCATTCAGAGAAATCGGGTCGCATTCATTATTCCACAATGTATCGCCGAGACAATCACACACTATCGCACATAATCTTGTCTGAAGTACCGACATTGATAGATAATGAATGTGTGCCTTTGCATACACGCTGTACTTTACTTTCGTTATTATAATTTCAATCCAGAAATACTTATCTGACCTTTTCGTAATAAAGGAAATTTATTGGATATAACGAAAAATTTAAAAATGTATAAAACTTCTTCTTTCTCCAAAATAATTCAAAATGATACTTCAGTGATATTCATACTATAATAAGAATGTTATACAAAACACATTTTCTGCAGCTTGCTATAAGCACTGTCTTCACGAGATAAGCTTATTAAATACATCAGGGTTGTCACTAAAAAAAAAAACAAAATATTCCAATATTCGTACAATACCTCGATTGACAAGTGGTGGACAATTTTAGTATACTCACTTATGACTTCGGCGAATCAATTTGTTTCATAAAGGTCAAAAGTACCGTGTGTATGTACAATCCATTTTTTATTAACCAACTCTGTATTACCCTTTCTTAACGCTTAAAATTCTCCGTCTTGTAAATGGGTAGATATTCTATCGATAAGTCATTTTGCAATCTCCCAGATCACATATAGCTAGGACTATAAATGAAACGTTTCTAAGTAGCATATAAAATAATTATACCTTATATTATTATTAACAAAAAAAAAATAGAGCTATGCAGAAACATTTCATATTGAAGTTGAACGATTTGCATTTATATGATTTCACAGCTATGCTTGCTTTCAATGTTTTCTTTACAATTATAATACTCAAATAACTTCTACCAAACGACTTTTAAAATAAAGACCAGAAACTACCAAAGATTAATGTTTTGTAAAACATACGAAGTCGTAATGTAGAACAAATGAGCTGAATGAATAAATGAGCTCCCATATAAACATGTACAGTATAACAATAATATACAGAAAGAACCTTAATTAACCTACTTAATAAATGTTTTTATTTACTGTAAATCCTTACCATACTTTTAGCAGTCCTCGAATCGTTTATAATTATAGTATCGTTCAAAGCACTGTTTAGATTGCAAATTAATGTACTGGAAAATATTTTTTAAAATTTTTATGAGCAGTAAAATGAAAAATTGAAACTATACCTGTTTTATCAGTACAAAAGTAGTAATATTAAAATGTTCGTTTTTTGTTTTTATTACTTCATTGCATTGTTTTACCGATACCATTACTTCGCCATCAAAACATGCGTTAAGTAGTAAATGGTGGAGCCATATAAAAATAAATTAATTAGGCTAGATGCACTATCGTGTGGCGAATTATCAATAAGTTCTAGTTTCAATACTTAAAAATCCACACATAAAGAAACTATATTAAGAAACTTCGAGGCTTCCTGTCCAGGCTACCCTGAAAATAAAGTAAAGTAATTTTCTGCGTTTATGTCATTTAAGTAGATACATTTCTTAAAATCACATTATATTGTCTCCCAATGCCAACTAGTATGGGTATGGGTTTTTCGTTGTGCTAATTTATGAAATGAACAGAAGCTATATGCCTTTTAAATCATGGTGTTGGTCATTTTACGTTATGTGATATTGCACTCTAGCCAAACCATATTTGCATGACTAAATAGTACTTTACTGCTATGTCTTATCAACGAGCACAAATTTTCTATGCAATTACACTATCTCTGTACCGCTATTATAATGCATCTTAAGTTTTTATCAGCCAGTGTTAATTATCATCACAAAAACCTATTTAATTCAAAAGATAATATTTTCACATTTATTTGGATATAGTTTTTTTGTTACGATTTTAATTTTTACGGTTTAATTGATGCATTTAAATAATTGTTCGAATTAGATAATCCTTAGATAACATCGCTAATAGTAGAAGTTGCATAATTTATTATATTTGTTTAATAAAAATTTGTGCCTTAATTTAATGTGTTTTCATGTAGTTTGAGACGCTTTTTATACGTTAAGACCGAAAACTGTGTGATAGTGCTGCTTCTTTCATAGACTACTCATTAACCACTGCACGTGGTTAGAACATGACGGTTTTTCGTGGTTTGTAAATGTCGCTTACTTACGTTGAGATGTTGCATGTCGCATGCTCGCTTATGTGTCGCCGTTGCAGCCTGCGAACATTCACGTGATGCGAATCTTGCGCAACGCACCGCCCTCCAATATTGTTAGGAATAAATCCGACAAGGTTAGTGATGACCGTATTATAATTTTGAAATCGTACAACTGGCAGGTACCCCTATGTGTAGAGTAACAAACGGCTTTATAGCAATGTATTTATATAGATATTCATTTCGTTCAAGTACTAACACTGGGTTTTATTATTTAATGATTCATTTAAAAATGTATTTGTTCATGTTTAAATACTATTTCATAACTGTTATGTTATACTAAATACAAAATTAATATAATTCCAGTCTACGCCCGTGGGTTCAATTCAGACTGGACAAGAGATTGTAGTCTCACCGAATCGGGACAGCACTCAGCCATTCCACAAGGTAAACAATACTTACTACATAATTTCTTAACTACATTTATTTAGCTATATTTTTTTTTCAATTTAATAAGAGCAAAATCTATGCGAGCTGTCATATAGATCTATTTACATTGATTTTTTCATAGTTCATTTAGCACTTGAACTTTTATCGGGAAAGGCCTACATTGTTTCGGTGCGGTGCGAGAATTTATGTGCACTGAAGCTACTTCACAAAACTGCATTAGACTGTCAACCAAATCTATACGAAACTATACAGCTAATATATCTACATTCATAATTATTTCAAAATCGAGACTGTTTGTATGCATTTGTACTTGTATCATCTAAAGTTGACTTGTAATTTTGCTACAACGACGTTGAATTTCAATGAGACTTAAAAATGATTTATTCCAGTTCAACCACCCAGCAGAGGATTCTTTTTCACAAATGACGAGTCAATGCTTTGGTGGATTTGTATCTACCCATTACTCCACCATATATGTACCACTATATTGGTGGTTTTGTGTTTTGGTTTGCGTTACTAGCTTCCACCATGTTATGCCACTTTATTAATTAATGAATTTGTTTAACTATTGTAAAATATACACGATCAGTCTTAAAAAATAATAATAATAAAACTGCATTATATACTCTGACGCTAATCATTTTTATAGTTTTTTCAAACAGTAGATTGTCATCACCTGTGGAAAAATATTCTCTGATGGATTGGCTTGTGGTTTAGAATGGAGTAATTGATTTTAAACCTTTAAACCTAAAAGACTACAAAAAAAACTTCGTCATAAAGAGAAAAGTTACAAAAAACGATGCTATAAAGTACTTATACCGACATTATGTCAATTTTAAATATTATAAAGTCTACTTTTGAGCATTTCTTACTCCTAGTGTTATTTGTTTTTAAAGAAAAGTGTCACCAACTAACTTGAACTTTTACCGTAAATAAAAAAAAAAACTCACTTTTCTATTTCAACAAGGTCGGTAAAAAAAATGTCTGATAAATATTACATGTTAGTAAGTTATGTCAAATGACATGGTCCGATGAGTCGCCAACTGATACAGCTTTTTTGTCGGTGCAGGATGATTTATGTGATTATATGATTGGTTTGGTTGAGGACGATGAGGCGGCGCTAATATCCGGAGAGGTTTGGCTCGCTTACACAATTATTGTTTTATTATTAGTACCTTTACTGCCCTTGATGCTCGCCTCAAATCTCTCCATGGAGTATTTACAATCTACTTCTCAGCAAAATATCAGTGTTGCAAACTCAAAAGTATTAATTGTTATGATTTGTACAGCCCTGGGCAATCATCTGTTGTTTTATTTTTAACGCATGGTAGGGTTGGTCCCTTTGAAAAAATCCCATTTAAAAATGTACTAAAAGATAAGAATTAAGAGCTCTAATTAGACCAACTCTAAAATATGTGTAGAGGTAAAACAATGATTGTTCTTAGATTGTTCTTTCTTTTTGAGAATATCATTTGCAGTACTTGCTTGGTGCTTTTAGGGGTTTCACGCTAGATTCCCTCTAACAGTCCAGTGGTGTTTTGTGTGAATTTTTCGCGAATGCTACCAGATTACATAAGTTATAAATTAGATAATGACAACTGTAAGCGATATATTCTTTTATTCTGAGGTCTACTATTTGCAGCAAAATTTATGAATTTCATGGCGTTTTTTTTCTTTGTAACAATAGAACTATGCAAACGTTTAGATGTGACATAGTTTATTTTTAAAGTTCAGTATCCCTAATTTTTAGTAGTCCTTTTTAGAATATTTAGTAATATCCAAAAAAAAAATACTGCCTATAGTTGTGCGCTGTCTACCAATTTGGAGCAATGCTTGGAAGTGTCTAGATGCGTTTTCATGATTTGGAAGACTCTCCTTCTTGTTCCCTCCATATTAAAGGCAAATATGTCTGTGTTTTACTTGTGAATTTCTAAATTGTGTTTAAAATAACTTGCATCTGATTTAGAAATCAGTTTGGTTTGTGTTCCTTTCCTAATTTCGTGAAGGCCTTTTTAGTACAGGTCAATCAGTTATAATAAAGTGTTAATATTTTTTTTAATAACATCCTAATTTAATTGAATACTTATTTAGTTATAAATACATCGTTTTAGCACAATTAATAAAAATAAATCGTTTAGTATTTACATAAAATTAGTAATATTAATCAATAGTGTTGCCATGGTTCACTTATGTATAATATATGACCATACCAACAGTTGGCAGTGCTGAAGAGCAAGGATTTCGGCACGGGCGGCACTGCCAACTCTGGTGGGAACTGGCCCCACAGCGGGAAGGCGACGCCACTAAACACTGGACATCTCACACCCGCTGATAGACATGGTTCTGTGCAGGTGAGATATTTGACTGTTATGAACAGATGGAAAACAAATAAAACACCTGTATTGATGTAATGTGTAAGTTGCGGAATTACAATTTTTCGGTTGATTGCACATGTCGCTGAAGAATGTCTAGTGCCCGCTTCTCGAAAGTATATATCCGTGATATTTACACATAACAGGGACATTGTTGTGATACTTTCAAACCGTTTATAATTGCTGATTTTTTTATAGAATGTAAAACTAAGTAGTCTTTCTTATAATTTCTTTTTTTACATATTGTCTTATTGGACGTGGACACATTTCTGTGTGTGTAATTGTAAAAGATGTATTTATTAACCCATCTGTTGACTTATCAGAAAATACTTCTGATTATGCATTAGAAAGATTTAAAACCCATTCCCCTAAATTCGAATGTAAAAATAATAAATCCGTTGTCAGCAAAATCAGCAAACATTTTCATTACATCTTTAAACATCATCTTTCTATTGTAATTGTCAGCGCAGAGCAACGGTGATTGTTAAATGTAAGAAAAGTAACTGGTTGTGGGATATATAGTTTTGAAAAGGGTGAATTGAAGTTGTGTCTAATCCCATAGCACACTGTCGATGTATCCACGTATTTGCATCACTTAGGGTGTAACAATAGCCTTGATCATAAATGTATCGAAATTACTAAGAAATTATTAGTCGTATGTCAAAATTACTTTAGTAAATGATTTACCTATTAGAATATTTTCACTCACTTTAGCATGTTCTTTTATTTATATTATTTGAAGCAATTACTTGTATATGTGAATGTATATTGGTGTATTTGTTTTTTAGCTATTGAAGAATAAACATTTTCGGTATGTGAAATTTCCCGGATCGGTATCAACGGTCAGTTTTGAATATATTTGCCGGCAATCCTTGTGTGACTGTCTGCATGACGCTTAAAATGTTTTAACAGTTAGGCTTGGCACATGAATTTGATATTTCTTATTATCCACATAATTGTCTCCTAGGCAAATTAGTGATGTCATTATTTTACTACAATAGATGAAGGAAAAACTCTGCAGTTTTGTGCATAAAAAAAAACGGCACTAACCTTATTAAAATGTTTTTTAACAAGGTATTAATAAGAGTTGATGATATTGCTTTAATGGGTTTTTTTTGTTGGTTTGCTTGTACGTATGTAATGTCACGGTGGTGTTAGTAAAATGTTTTTATGTTGAGAGTTTTTATGAGTTAAATAAATAGACAAGAAATATTTGATTCATGTAGTATCGGTCTCACTGTAACTTAAGCTTCAATCAAAGCACCTGCCAATATTCATTCATGAAATACTGTAGGTACACTTGAGCTTATTAACTGTATTACAGCTATTTTTATATTTTAAGTCATATGCACGCATTTAGTATATATATGGCCGCTTGTTTACTATAAATAGTTCTATTTTATGTGTGTGAACCGCTTTAAACTACAAAATGACAGAAAAGTTTTGACTCCCGCTACGGTAACAGAATACAAATTTACACTACCTCAGTTTTATGAAATTGAAAATTATGATAAATGTGCACCGCTAATGGAGCTAGTTTTTAAATGTTACCCAAGCGGTGGCAAGTGAACATTTTGTATGTAAATATTGTTCTGATAATTGGTTAATTAATTTCACTTGCGCGATATGCTAGAAAAATATAAAACAATGATAAATTTACTATGTCATGCTAATGCTATGTGTGTGAAACTAATTGATAATCGAGTCTCAGGTACAATTTTAAATCGTATATCGTTCTCTTAAATAATAAGAAGGTTTACTGACCAAATTACAAATTAAACTTAGACTTTCCATGAACTTTCGTTTTATGAAAAATAATCATTTATAAGGGAATTAATGTTTTCACCACGGCCAGTGCCACCTGTTCGAAATGTCTCGCAATTCAAATGATTATTTTATTATATATATAAAGAATAAATACCCATTGTTACTTAGATATTACTTCTGAAATGAGGTAACTAAACTGAGAACTTATTATCTGATATGATATTGCTTGTGACATGCTCATATTGGGCATCATAAATACTATAGTACTGCACCAAAATGTATCCGCTATGGTAGAATAAATGAAGGATTTTTCTTTAGTATGATAAAATATTTAAGGGTTAGATACTAAGTAGAAATGAGTAAAGTCGTCCATCTTTATTAAATTTAATGTACATAGTTTGGTTTCATCTAAAGATATAAGGTTAGGTTAATTAGTCTCTGTCTATCATTGGTATAATGGTATTTCTTTGTTCTGTCGTTTGGGGAACACCATTAAACCCAAATGTATTATGTATTAAGACCAGTTTGGTTGCATTATTTATGCGATGTATATATTATATTATATACATTAAGTTGATTAAAAATGTAAACAGTCTTGACTCATTTTTGTAGATAGTTAAAGCTGTGGAATGTTGGGGTTATGAAGGATGTCAGTAAATAATTGTAAACGTGTGTATTATTCGACAGGTGGTTAGTTCAACGAACGGCGAGCTAGGTGCGGACGACCCGACCGCGGGCCACAGCAACACGCCAATCACTCAGCCGCATCACGAGGTTGATGTGGTTGACGACACCAAGTCAGTGTTCCAACTGTATGCATACCCTTTTTTTTCTTTTTTTTATATTAAGTTAATCGTAATCATTCATATCGTATCAAGCATCAAGCATGAGACAACTCCTAAATCCTAATGTGGTAAACTCTAAAAAAAAGTATATAATGTTTTTACCCGACTGCCAAGGAAGGGTTATTGTTTTTCGCGCGTATCTTGTATGTACGTATGCATGTAATATTCTTTATTAACTTATATCTTCCAAACCCATTTATTTAGTTAACATATTGTTAGATGCGTCGTGGTAACCCAAGTGCTCTTAGATAGGTAACGCGAAGAAAAAACCAACATGGCGACTGTGAGACGCTATAGTTTAAAGTAAAAAGTTTTTTTGGATACTGCAATAACTGATGTACCCCGCGACGCTCCCGTGTGGCACACTGTGATTACATTGATGAGAAATGAGGATCAAAACTGACGCGAAAAATAGATAAAAACAACCTTTGAAGCGGGTCGTAATTCGTGTGTAAATTTGGCCTCAATAGGTCAGAACTTTTTAAGTTTTGAACCGTATCAAAACATACTTAACTTTTTTAAATATTAACTATTATAGCCATACAAATTTGTTTTTTCTTTAATTACATATTCCGTTTAAACATTAGGTGGTCTCCTAATGTATTTTCGCTTTCTTTTGGGTTGCTTATGATATTCGAAATTACGAAAATAGGGATTGCAGAATAGTGATTCATTGAAAATTTGATAACAATATTAAACACAATTCAACTATCAAATCGAAAAGCTAAAAAAACTGCAGCGGGGATAAATTAATGTGACAATTAATTTTAAAATAAAATCACTTGTGTACCTGATTTCAGCTACGGGACATCCACTGTTAAACATACGCGACAATTACAACATTTAACAAAAAATACGTTTTCTTTGTTACTGTTCGTCTAGTACTCGTATGTCATCCCTTCATAATGGTATCGTTTCACTACAATCATTATTTTTACACATCTTTTATATTCATAGTTATTTTTCTACTTTCGTATTTTATGTGTTCATAAATTATCATCATTTATTATCGATTATCATGCTTATTTGTCGATGTGCTCTAACAAACTTACAACCTGACAGACTCTTTAAAATCGTCATGCAGACAATCTGTGTATTCCAGATGCTGTTGTTTCTTCAAACGCAAAAAGAAGAAGTGTGCGGCGCGCGCGGGCAAGTGACGCGAGTGCGGCTCGTGACCCGCCCCCGCCCCGCGCCCGCCCCGCCCCCGCCACGCACCCGCCCCGCGCCCGCCCCGCACGCGCCCCTACATACACGCTACTGTATTTACTACTACACCCAGTTGCTCCCTATATTGTTTAAAACGATTTAAAGTATTTTCAGTAATCTAAGTGAAGTCCAGTATGTTGTTATGATTCAAAGTTAAATGGTAGTGTTACGTGACAACTAGGGGATTATTACTTTCAAGACTCACAGTTTTCTGCGCAATAATAAATTAACGAGGTATGTGATTGTTGTGATTATTTATGACCATACTTGTTTTGGGACCTGTATAATGGTTACTTTAGCTAAAAGAAATTATTTATTTAATGAAAAATATCATTGGGTGTGCACAATGGAATTTGTTATGTCGAGCCAAGGACACTATGATAGCTAAAAATAATTAAGAAAAAAATATTTTGTAAAAATCCTCGTCGTTTGTTTGAAGTTGTCTTAATTTTAAAGTTCACAACATTAGTAAAATGAGATACGGGCCCCTTTGTTGTTGAAAATCATATTAAATTGAAATGTTATGTTAATGTGGGTGAGACGGATTTGTTTCCATAATAAATTTAGATTCTTGTAGCAACATATACTATACAGAGGCAACCTTGGTGTACTAATGTAAAAAATGGTCTATATTTTAACATTGTTTCGTACAATATGGTAGAACTCCTTAAATACTGAAATGATTTTTTTTGCCTGATTTTTGTTCCAAAGATCAGTGATCTTTTAATTTATTACTTTCGTCTATATTAGGTGTAATTTTTTGACTCGGTTAGTAATATTCATATCTTGTAAAATTAACTTTATTTGTCAGTTGATATCGTATTTAGTCTTGTAAACTTATATTCAATCGACTATGAAAATATTTCTAGTTTTTTAAATTTCTATCTAAAAATATTTACGATACTAAATGTTTACTACACATCTTGCATTAAACAGTTGGATCCAAAACTTATAGCACGCTTATCTGGAAGATACGATTTTGACTAAATGACCAGTATTATTTTGAAGTCATGCCTTAAAACATGATTCGTTTTGTAGGGATTAAGTTACACAAACAGAATTTAGAAGAAAAATAATTTAAATGACCAAATGATGTGCAATCGTGCATTATTTCGGTTAGGAAATGTCCGATCCTAATATATTTACTTATTTATTCTTATTTATTATTATTAGTAATTTATTTGACAAAGATGGAAAGACGAAAATCTAATAGGTATAACAAATACGTACTTGGACTAACATTACAATGAAGATCTTAAGCAATTTTGTTTTCCGTTGGTGTTACCCTCTGGAAAAAATGTTATTGCCATGCTATAAACATTAATTGACTAATGTGAATAGAAATATTTATTACTTTTAATTTAGATGTGGTAAGAGTAATCCAAAAATAAACCTTTACTGCGTTTATTTAATTTTACAGATAATATGAAAGTGTAGGTAAAAAATGTTTTGGAGTATTCCTCGAACGACTACAAAATTTCTGGATGCCTTTAACGAACATGATTTATAAATTAACAGGGGGTATTTTTTACATGCAAACCTTCAAATGTAAGTAGATCGTGTGTATGGACACTAAGAACCCAGAATACTAAAAAAATGATAGTTGATTCGACATCCATTACACAGGTCCCTTACGGTAATTTATGTTGTGATACCTTGAATCGTGTAATCTATTTCTGGTGTACATAGTTCCTGCGTTGGTTTCTTAGTACGTGAAATAAGTAGAAATTGAATTTGTAAAGATATATTTGAACAGACATACAGGAATATTTACATATCAGTAGAGCACATGGTTTAAGGAAAGAACTACTTAAGAGGCCTATTACATGAAACGACAAAAATCCTATCAGAAATTGTTGGTAGTCATTAAAGAAATGATCAAATTCGAGTACAAAACCAAATAAAAATCTATTTGTAACTGTTATTTAAGTGTACTTTGTTATTCTTAGTAAAATATATTGAATAATTTATTTTAGCGGAATATGAAAGTTGTATAATGATTATTCAACCTTAATATGGTGAATTATATAATTGCGTTTGTGAGAAACAATGGTTAATTGGCTTGCTTAAAAGATGACTCTAAATTTTACATAACAATTTAAATATATAAGAAAAATACCTACTTTACTTTGACATGGAACCAGAAGACTTGTGTCGCATGCTCAAGTAAAAATATCTAGGAAAGAAGTATGCAATGTTCAAAATAAAGAATACAATTTGGATGGTAAAAATGTTTGTATTTGAAATTGATTCATTCATAGCTCTGTTTGTTCATAACAACCAAACGCTATGGAAACCGACCACCAAATTGGTTGGGTTCACTACAAATAACCGCCGCCTTGCACGTGGTGGCGTAAGCGGCGCGGTGAGTGAGGCAACACAGTCTTTGTGTGATTCCTCGAGTTAGCGCTATTAACACAAATTTTCTTTTGCCTTTTCTTGTAATAGACCTTTTAAAAGGATTGCCGGTAATTGTTGTTTTTCAGTGTTTGTCATAAAATCGCAAATTTAATACCTATGTTAATGTAATGATGTGAGTAATCAGAATGGTTGAACAGTTTAGGTAAATTGCAAATTAAATTACAAGGTACTGAGATGGAAATTTGTTTCTCAGTTGAGTGCTCTTAGGTAATTCCCCGTTAACTTCTTAACTATCTTGACATCATATATATATATTATAAACTTAACTATTCTTTATAATAAATTAGAAAAGTAAATTTCAGTATATGGAACGACTGGGTCTAAATGTTTAAGTATATAAGTAAAAAAAATATAATTGCCAATTTAACAAACATATGCTGACCTTCCCCGAATCACCATAATTATATTTAATATTATTTTTAATTTTGTTTTTTGAACATCCCTAATGCTTACTGATTACACGGAGCTATGTAAAGTTTCAGTTTCATTTTGACCTGACGTGTAACAAAGGTGCATACTAATGTCTGAGTGGTTGGCAATCACATATTATTTATGTATATATATATATATATATCAGAATATAATATACAAAGTGTTATTCGTGTATGTACCAGTTATAAAAAATACTTATATTGCGTTAATTGTTAATATATAGATGACACTTTCAGATTCCGTAATTAACGTTCGGTATACAAAATTACGTTCATGTTATTCTGTTGTCGTTACTATTGATAGTGTTGAAGAAATAGTTCCCGTCAACAGAGTGGACATTGGACCCTCCCTAGGGAATAGATGGATTGTGTTAGTTTCTCAAAGAAGTAGATTATTTGACATGAGAACGCCCCCCTTTGTGATATAGGTGGAACGTTTTTCCTTTTATGTTGTCCTACGTGAAGTTTCTAACAGTATCCCTAGTGCGAGCTTGTTGATTGTCGAATCCAACAGTCTCTATAGGCCCATTCAAGAATCCTTCTTAACTGTAAGTGGCCGCGTGACGTCTATTGTTGAACCGAGGTATTGTTTTAGAAGCGTTCTTTAGTTACTTACACTAAAAGAATTGATTTTGTTGGAACCGAGAGCACGAAGACCACGAAAACCCGTTCTAAAGGTACTGGATCCTTCGAGCGCCTATCGATTAGGTTGTTAATGATGTCAATTTAAAATGTATCGCTTCCGAGTATACTTGTCTCAATTTGAAATGGGCGCTTAATAATAGCAATAAAAGTAAATAAATAGTAGGCTAAGCCATGTGCGGTTGGCAGACTTTACGTTTTGTGTTCCCGTCCTTAGTAAATTATGTTTATTTTCACCAAAAATTGTAAATTCTATGTTCTCGCGAGACGTGAGATTTACTTTACCTCATCAAGATCACTTGCATACATTCATGGCCACTCATCTATGATGTCCATTCCAGCACATAGTTCGAACAAATCCATAGATTTGTACATTAGGATTTCGGTCATAATTCATCGACACTGTAGCGTAACTAAATACTTACTAGTAGACAAATGTCGCTTACGTTTCTGTTGTCAATGAAACTGAATTATTTTTGTATGTTGTTTAAGTTCATTGCCGTTATATTATATTTGAGATGCTTGAGTAATGGATGAACAGCCAATATTGTGACTTATCGTAAGTTTGTGTGTTGATGGATTTTGTCTTTCTTCCGCTGTGGGTTGAATGTTGCACTCTCCCGTATTGTGCATTATGTTACAACACAGGTTGTGATACTTGACCGCTGGCCGATGTGTACCTATGACATTCAGTACGCATTAGGTACTTACTAACTCTACGGAGTCTCATCAACTCTTTATAAATTATATTTTTGTGTAACCGAGTGAAACATTGCATCGTTCTGTCAGGTAGCGATGCCGAGCGGCAACCATTCAACCTATTGCTTGTATGAGTACTTTAGATAGTAACTTTATTTAGTCATTGTTTACCTAAGTTCGATTTGTATGAAAACGAATATAATAATATTTACAATTGGCTCCGTTCCTATAGTGACGCCACATAATTTCCTATCTTATTTATATCTATTATTATAGTTTTTTAAGAGATAACCAGACATAAAAATAAGAGATAAACATATTATTAAGTGATGAGTTTCTTTTTCATGCTTTTGTGAGAAACATGACCATATTGACGATTGGTTGATTCGATAAATGTTTATTATTAAGTGTGCAATAAATTGTATAGAAAATCAATACAATAGTGTTAAAACGTAATTTGTTTCAATCGGTGTACCCCGTCGAGTCCCGAGCGAACTGGCTATATTCCTACAAGACTGAATGAAACATTTCACCTTGGGTGCGAACACGTGGCTCTGGGCTCATGTCAATTTGTATTATTGCAATTCACATTCAATTTGTTTGTTAGATCTATTACGTCGGACTGTATCATTGAATGTACTAGTACCTGTATCGTAGTCGCTGTCGGAGTGTGGCCGGGGGCTGCTGCCGTGGTCACGTTCGACACTCGTTTTAAAATATTGTCTATTCTTTGGATTTATTCACGTTAACCGTTAGTC